CATGGCATCACAGCTCACAGCAACCTCAAACTCTTGGGTTCAAGTGATTCTCTTGCCTCAGCCTCCCAAGTAGCTGGGACTACAGGCGCCCGCCACAACACCCAGCTGTTTTTTCTTGTAGTTGTCATTGTTGTTTGGCAGGCCCAGGCTGGATTCAAACCTGCCAGCTCTGGTGTACATGGCTGGTGCCCTAGCCACTGAGCAACAAGCACCAAGCCCTTCTCCAGATCTCTGACACCATCCCCAACACCTGCTCCCCACAGAGGGATCCCTATGAGATGTTTGTGAGTCTGTCCCTATTTCACAAAGGGAGTAAGGTGGGACTGGCCCCCAGGGCCCAGCATAGTACCTGGCACAGAATAGTCTGCAAGGGAGGGGCCCTGAGAAAGAGAGTACTCTACCCCATGGGGCCAGTTCTGCTTTCTATGGAACAAAGCAAGAAAGCAGTACCGTCTTACGCACTCTTCCACCACACTGCTTTGGAAGGAAGGGGCTAACAGGATCAGAAGTTGGTACCTTGTTCTGACACATCTGGCTTCTTCTCCCCCTGGTTCAGGTCTGTTCCAAACTTCAGTTTATGATATTTGGCCCTAAAAGAGTAAATGATTAATAAATAAAAGATGCAGAAGTATAGAGTCAGCAGTCACCTTAGGAATCTCAAATCCTAGGGCTTCCCCCTAATCCACTCTCCTACCTCTGAAGGTGAACTGTCCCCTTGCACCCCATGGCTCAGTAAAGGCAGTGCCAAAGATCGCATGGGGGTAAAGCAGCCATTCCAGACTACCTTGCTATCTCTGCCCTAGAAGTTCTTGAATTAGTGACTTACCCTCTTGAACCTCAGTTCCTTATCAGAAACAGTATCCGTTAGGCTACTAGAAGGGATAAACAAGGTGGGCTACCACCATCATGAATACTGCTGCTGGTTCTTGAATGCTATGTCTTTTTTTCACCCCCCTGCCCCCAGAACCCTATGGTACTGGGATGACTAGAAGAAAACGCCTGACCCCAAATCTCCCTTAGCTGGGTGGAAGCACAGTCAGTGGCTTGAAACTGACTCTCCGAAGCCAGGGCCAGGGAAGGGAGGAGGGTTTACCTTTCCTGCTTCAGTGCATATTCTAACATCTTGATCCGCCGCACCAGGTCTGTCTTTAGATTTTCTTGTCCCTTCCTCTCTCCCTGGAGGAATGCCACCTGAGCCTGGGGAGACCAGGGAGACGAAAGCAAAGGAAGACAGCAAGGCTCAGACTCCCTGAGGGTGGCCCCTCATGCACTCAAGTATGGCTCCAGCCCCTTCCCACCCAGGGACATGCAGCAGCCACTTCCTCAACGGAACACGGAGAGGACATGCTGGATCTGTTTCCAACGAACCCTGCCATGTCACCCACAATGAAAGACCTTGAGTCCTTTCACCCCTGAAATTAAAATAGAGGCAGCTTGGGCCTAACTTGGTGACTACATTTTGGGAAGAAGTCAGATCAGGGATGAAGGTAAGGAGGAGGGGAGGCATTAACCGGCTGGACTCCCCCATACCCTATGGCAGGTGCCAGCCCTAAGGATGCTGGTGGAGGTGGTGTCCCACTATTCTTACCAGAGCATCTGTCTCTGGGAGGCGTAGGAAGCTACTTCTGGAGCTCAGGGACAAGAGTGGGTGGCTCAGCTGAGCTCCCGCTCCGATACAAAAGCTTTTACTTGACCCCCACTGTGGGGACAAACTGTCCCACTGCATCCTGCCCAGGGCGTGAGAGAGATGTGCCACAGACATGACCCAGGGCTCCTGCCAAGCACTTCACACGGTCTGCTGGCTTGGGCTGTCCAATCTGCTCTGGTCTGTCAACAGGTCATTTGGAGACACTGGGCCAACCTCTTTCGAGGGAAGATCCCGGTCCCTGACCATGTTCCAGAAGCCAAAACCTAGAGGCCAGGGCTCTTCCTTGGCTTCTCCCCAAGTGCTCCGCTGTTCCAGCCCTAGACAGCCTGAGCTCCAGACCCAGCTCAGACACATATATGCTACAAGATCTAGGGCAGGTCACCAACCTTCTCTGAGCCTCCATTTGCCCCTCTAGGAAATGGGGCTCATAGGCTTGCCTCTCCCCATGTGTTAAGTTCTGCTTAGTCCAACCCCTAGCATAGAATACAGGCTAACAAATCTCAGTTTCTACTTCTCTTATCATTTTTATTCTCCCTGTCCCTTTTTCCACAGTTCCTCAGGGAAGCTATGATACCTGAGTTTGGAGATTAATCAGATACGAATGTCTGTGGCTTACAGGATCCCTGCCCTCATGGCCAACTGCATCTTCTTGGTCCCAGCTAGCTCCTTGCACACCATGTGCCTGCTGAAAAGCTTCTGACTCCACCAGAAGCCTCCAGCCTGACCCTAGACACCTCTTCCAGGCTGTTCTCAATCTCAAAGCATCACACCAGGACTGTCTGTTCTGAGTAACCCCCTAGATGCCACCCCTTACCACTCCCCCCCCATGGGGTTCACTGGACCCTGGTGCACTGCCCCATGCACAGTATACTCAGGCCTGCTAGCACCTCCATCCTGCCCCAGAGACCAGGTGTCACCCTCAGGTTAGTAGAACACTCAGGCCAGGGCAACAGGCACATTCATACATCACTGGTAGGTCATGAACTGACATACCCTTCCTGGAGGGCTCTATAAAAATGTTAAATGTACATTTTCCTTTTGGTTCCACTTCCAAGAATTTATCCTACAGGCATACATGCAATGGTAGGCTTCCTTTGAATAAATAAAAAGGGATATACATGCATTAACATATGACAAAAGATCATTCACTCATTCATTTACTCCACAAATACTTATTAAGTTCTGACTATGTATCAGGTACTGTTGTACGTGTTAATCCTGAGGATACAGCATCGAACAGAATGGGGTTTATATTCTAGTGGGGATGCTGTAGGACTATCAACAAATAAATGTATATAATGGAAAAGAAATCTCATCTATCCATTGAGAGAATGGAACCTTTATCCCCTTTAACATTTTTACAACACATATGTTCACAGGTACCTAAGGATAGCCAGACTACTCACAGGTGATCAATACGGTTAAAGTGGAAGTTTCTGCCCTTTGTTGGGCTTTTTGTTTTTTTTTGTCACCTGGGCTATCGTGCAGTTGCATCATCATAGCTCACTGTAACCTCAAACTCCTGGGCCAAGCAATCCTCCTGCCTCAGCCTCCTGAGTAGCTGGGACTACAAGTACACACCACCATGCCCAGCTAATTTTTTTCTATTTTTAGTAGAGACAAAGTCTCCCTCTTGTTCAGACTCAAACTCCTGATCTCAAGCAATCTACCTGCCTAGGCCTCCCAGAGTGCTAGGATTTCAGGAATGAGCCCCTGTGTCTGGCTTCCTTTGCCTATCTTCTCTGTCCCCCAAATCTACTCTATAAGTCATTTTAGAAGGTGGAAACAAGGCTGGGTGCAGTGGTTCACATCTGTAATCCTAGCACTTGGGAGGCCGAGACAGGTGGATTGCCTGAGCTCAGGAGTTCAAGACTAGCCTAAGCAAGAGCAAGACCCCATCTTTTAAAAAACAGGTGGGGCTCAGCACCTGTGGCTCAAGTGGCTAAAGCACCATATACACCTAAGGTGGTGGGTTCAAATCCAGCCTGGGCCTGCCAAGCAACAATGATGGCTGCACCCCAAAAAAATAGCCAGGTGTTGTGGCGCGCGCCTGTGGTCCCAGCTACTTGGGAGGCGGAGGCAGGAGATTCGCTTGAGTCCAGGAGTTGGAGGTTGCTATGAGCTGT